GCGGAAATAGTGTGGAAATATGACTCCTTGGATACAGGTTCAAATCGCAAAGGCATCACGTTTTTTGGGCTTCTACTTTCCATTTTAATTAATGGTAAGCCATTAATAGAAAAATAATTTCTTTAAAGGCAAGTAAAATATTTCTTCTACTTTCCATGTAGGAGTTAGTTTTGATTTCCTCCTGCTTTTATGGTAGGTTGATTTTTTATTATTCTTTTTTCTTTTTTGCTTTCGTTCCCCACAAATCATTTGCTAGATGTTCTAATACACGAAATGCACCTTTCAGACTATGTTTCTAAGTTCTATTTATTTGAACTTGGTTAAGTGTTAATTTGTGTTCTTTTCATTTATGAACTACCATTTGTTGCCTTTGTGAATTATCCATTTCTGTTTTTTGATTTGTGTTAAATTGGTTTGTCAATTGGCAGTCTCACTACATTATCTCATATAATGAATGGAAGAGATTTGGGACTAGAATGCATTAATAGTAGCACTGTTATGTAATTCTTACGTTGTAATAATTCAATGGAATTAAATAATTGCTTTTTTAATAATAATAGAGGGAAAATTAAAAAAGGACTAATTTGTTCAAAGTACCATAACTAAATTAAATTCATATTTACATCAAGTACCACCTCAAAAGGATAATAAACTTACAAAAGATAGTAGCGTTCACATATCCATTACGCTTACAGATCATTAGAGATTACAGAGAGGCGGACCATTACTAACATTAATCCGATCATATTAATAATACCCAATGCTACATAGTTATCTAAAGGCGGGAACAACTTTACCAAGAAGAGATCAAAATAATTCCCCACGTTGTTCCAAGGACCGAATGTGACCAATACCTCATATGCCTTCTCACCAATCAAGTTGAGAAGTGTAACATAGTCCGCATTTTGAAGCTCAGAAGGACTGACAACAGAAGACATGATTCTCCGTAAGTAAGCTGATGGGAACACGACCTCAACATCAGTAATGTCATCTTCAATGGTCAAGTGAATCAAATATACCCTCAATGCCTCACACCAAGATCTCCTCAACTCTGTTACAACGCCAGAGAAAATGTGTAACGACCCGACCTTTTTCAAAAACCAAACCATAACTCAAACCGAAAACCGGTTACTCCGGAGCAACCCAAACCACATTTTGAAATAAACAACTGATATTATTTAAGAACTTTAAACGAAAAGCCCCAACACTTGGGCAAAATCTCAAACTCAAACACTCAAAACGACTTAACACAGAATCTTGAACCTGGAATCTCCAGTACATATACTCATAATCATAATCATAAAATAACTTCCAAATTTTAACTCTAACTCCTCACCCAGCTCCTCGACATCTCACCAGTACAGGTACGGTCGCTCGCCTCATCTTACTTCTTCTCAGGATGCACTTCCGCTAACCCAACCTCAACCTGGTGAGTGAGAAGGGGTCAGTCTCGTCGTTACTTCCTAAGGTCTCTGCCCTTAGAAATCTCCTTACTAAAACACGTTATTAGCGTTTCCTTTCCTTAGATGAAAGTCGTTCTCACTTTCATCCTTAATAACTCATTTCAACTTTAACTCATAGCAGTTCTCAACATTTAGCTTTAACTCAAAGAAGTTCTCTACTACTACCTTAATTTATATACTTATCACTAGGGAATCACCGCGTTACGTATCGCCGTCCGGTGTCCCTATCCTCAAGGCAATGGTACTGCGTTACGTATCGCCGTCCAGTCCATGCCCGGTCAACTACTGCGTTACGTATCGCCGTCCAGTAGTGACCTGACCATCTACCGCGTCCAGTAGTGGCCCAACCGCCCGGGGGCTCAATTACCATCAATCATACATCACATAAATAGCACAACGCGTGCCTCCACCCTTATAGGCGGTGGGATGCCTCACACACATAACGCGCATACTATAAAAATTAAATAACATAATTGAATTAAAAAGGCATAAACTAAAAGATCTCGACGGAGATTTTACCCCCTTTACACTCACCTTTCACTTTCACCAGCAACGGACTTGACCTTGCACTTCAATTTATGCAGTCGATGTCCTGATTTGCACATCTCATCCTCTTGCTACTGGACGTAGTCTTCACCCTACTTTATGCATCATGAATCCATTCCATGCACTAACCTTCACTTACTCAGGCCACAAATGCACTAACCTTCCACCTAAGCAATGATCCAGGACACACGTGTATAAGAATTACACCCCCACAAAAGGTAAATCCTTCTTGGCCCATCTTCCCAATTGACTCTTCCTAATAATCCACCTTTTCTTTGACAGCTACTCCTCCTAATAATCCACTTATTAACGTGTCTAACCCAAATCTTTCAGCTCAAAATAACGCCATGACAAGAAAGCATTCATCATCGAGCTAATCATCACCGCGCTAGGATCATTACCGTCGCATCCCAACCATAATAAAATAGGAGAATCATTACCTTTGATTTTGTCGATTCCCATCTCCTCGCATCCCCATGGCTGTCTCCAAGTACGTTCCCGAAGCTTGTCGATCGCCCACTAATCATCACCACTCAAAGCCTTGTCTTAACCACCCGTATCCAGCAAACTCTTTCCCCCTTCCCTGATAGCTTTCTTCTTCTCGATAAGAGCTTCCCGGTTGCGAAACACGATGGACACCACCTGAAGGGCTTTCCCTCTGCAGCCCCTAAGGTCATCGTTCATGAAACCACCCCTTCTCGGAGTGAACTTTCCACCTTCCCCATCATCCATGATAACTAATGATTAATTTCAGGGATGCGGTGCGAGCGGCGGAACTACTTGAAGGGAAGGAACGGATGGGGATTCCAAGAGGTTTCTACAGAGGTTTATTTTTTTCTTCTTCTTTCTCGGCTGCCGCTTGGAACAACTTGGTTTTGGGTTTGTAAAGGCTTTATATATTTATATACTCATTACATTAGTAATAAAATTATTATTACTATTATCGTTTCTCTCAATCCATGTTGCAACCCTACATTCAGGCAACGATCAATTTGGACCACGTCAATTAATTAGGCCATGATCCTTAACTTGGTTTGGTTTTGTCTTTTCGTATGTAACCATCGATCAAACCATTCACTTAGTATGGTCGAACCTGAACCCAGATATCGGGGTGTAACAAAATGTACGAATTGCCCTGATATAATCCAAACCATTAGGAGTTCAAAATAATACCAAATCAGATGCAAATCATTGATATAACATATAGAGAAGGATAGATAACAAACATGAAACATGTGATCTTAGTCATCTGACGAGCACCATCCAATTGCATTAGGATAAGATCTATAGTTTCCAGGGTTAGATAATTTAGATTCGTAACGAAATCGTCTCCCATGGTAAAAAACCTATAATTTAGATCATTAGCAATATTAGCAATTGTATTGAAATTTGGTGAGAACACAAGAATATGTTTATTATGAGTTGGTTAAAAAGCAATTACTCACGGGTTCCATTCAGGTATGATATCCATGTTCAAATATATGTCAAACTTATTTCCTTCTACTCAATCTCTATTTTTGGAAGTAGCTGCCATTTTTAGGATCATAAAAACAAAGAATGTTAGTTGTTGTTTGGGACCACAATGCATATTACACTTGCAATGTTGAATTATTAACCAATTCGTATTTCAATTGACCAATATCAAATAGACTCTGATCAATTATATCAAAAGAGGTTAGAGTTCTTACACTAATAAACTAATCATGTACAAAGGAAGATAAACAAACAATAGCAAAGCAAGACATGACTCTGTCAATCCTTCGATGAATTTTTCAATTGGACCTGGATTTTACTTCTTTTGACTTATTCATCTTTGATTCTTACATGGATAATCGATTCTTAACTATAACAATATATACTGTTTTATGGAACTTCAATGGACGCTGTTATACCGATGACTGAACTCCACTACGTATTAAACAAACAATATACAATGGTTTGGTTGTATGCAACACACACTACATAATCAGATCCAAGAAAATAATATTGAAATATACTTCCTCAACTATGGATTAATGCTATGTTACAATCGAATAAATCATAACTAATCATGTTCCTTATTTTAATAGATCCAACCACATTGTATGAGAAACCATGGAAACAAACGCACCTGTGGAGCTCGCAAGATTTTGGTCAGAGTCTCGAACTGAAACACTTTCTAAAATCCAAGATGTTAGTAGATCGGGAGAAAACAAAGTTCAATGATAGTATTCGTAGTCCTGTTTAGATGCATATACCTTCACATAATCTGGAATCGTTTTCGGCACCGTCGACTGGATTATTAGAGGCTAGAAAAAACTTCGCTGCTGTTGAGAGACTGAAAGAAAAGATGTTGCGAGGTAGGGTTTGGAAATCAATCGCTGGAACTGAGAATTCAGTCGGTCACGCAGACAGGAAGACAGGGAACGGCGTCCATGTAATGAATTTGGTGGCCCTTTGCTGTCTTCGTCGGAGACTGAACAGAGGAATGGAAGAGAAGAAGGAAACTGAACCGTTTTCGTCTTTTGATTTTGGGTTACTATTTCTTAGTTTAATAATTTTACTCAATTTATAAAAGTAAAGGGGAAAAAATTGGGCCTTTAATTCAATTGAGCTTGGATGCCTTATGGCTGGATTAATGGGCCTCTAGCCGGCCAAAGGGCCGGGCCCGGTGCTAGTAATCAATAAGGAAAGATTAACCAATTAATTGAGAAACTAATTAAATGCGAGTCAATTCCATTTCTGTATTTTATTAATTACTCAATTTCCAAGTGGCTGTTTTTTATTAGTTGAGAGTACCATGTCAGTAAAATGACGTGGTGATCTCGGAGCATGGAAGAATTTATGGTGCATCCACTCTATCTAAAAATACCAATGCTATAGTGCCACATCTACAAGAACCACTCGTGTCATATGCCAAATTTGGGACCTGCTACCTGCCACTCAGGTGGTCTTCTGCACCAAATACAATCACATACCCTATATAACATATTAATGGAATTCCAACATTTTATCCCTGATTTTAAACGTACCCTAAAGACAAACCAAGTTATGTAGCCAGCCTTAATTGACAAATGTGTGGCATTTTCTAAATCAATATAGTGTAACAAGCATTAAGAACACAACTACATTAAGAACACAAATACCAATTGCTTCTACACAACATTTAGGATGACAACTACGTTTTCAGAAACCTTTTGCTTCTCATATCAATGTCGATTAATTTCCTACCATATAATAACGTGATGCAACATAAGAATAACCAATATTAGGTTCAGTACGACAATCACTATCAATAAAGCTCGAATTACATGGATTTCATGATTAACTCTCCTTCCTTCAACGAGCATAATTTCATGTGCCTTCATCCATCTTGATAGCTCTTCAGCCAAAAGTTTCTTCTCCTTCTTCCTCCTTTCCACCTTACACTCAGCTAGCCTCAAACTTTCTTCAATATTCAAAGTCGAACACCCAATTTCAGAGTCATGGTGCTTATCTTCATCGACATTCATTCGCACCCACCTAAAAAAACGACAGTTCTTCTTCTCGTCCTGCACCATACGACCATTTAACTTAGAACCCACATCAATGACAATTTCAAAACCCATATCTAAACACCTTACCATCAAAAATGGACACCCATAGAACTGTCTTCCTGGGTTCGCTTCGGTTCCAGATGTATTCACCACACATGGCTTCTTGTGCCAACAGAGTACCGCCCCTCGGCTATTGATGCTAGTCGAAGTTGAGGAAGATGCTCGCTTGGACATGGCTGACCTTCGCGTGAAGTTCTGGCCAGGAGAAATCGCGATTTCGGGGTCGCGAATCGGCCGAAGAAGTGGGATTTGGGGAAGAAGGAAGAAGCGCCGATTCGTTCAGAAACTAGAAGAAGATTTGGGGAAGAGGAGTAAGCATCGATCAGCTTCGTGTATCTCCTTCGTGGGGAAGAGGAAATTTGGGAAGAACCCTAATTTCGTTTTCTAGAAAGAGATGGAGAAGAAGGAAGCCCTAATTTTGTTTTCTGGAAATAGACGGGGATTTTTGGTAGCCTCGTGCGATCAGGTAGATGGGGAAAGTTTTAAATTTTTTTTAATAATAAATAAATTATTAAGATGACGTGTCAATTTTTGCTTTGTTGTCGCTGAAGTGGTTGATGATTTGGCGCCTCGTCAGCGAACCGTCAAATAAGTTGACAGAGTTATTAACGCCGTCATAGTTTCTAACGAAAATGGCTATATCTAGCACGCAACATTAGGGGTGAACAAACATACCTGCAAACCGACCCACCCGTCCAAACCGATCCAACCCGTGTTCCAACTATTAGTATGAGTTCGTATCTAAAAAATATTTATGTCGTATATAGTCATACTTATGAGAAAATTAAGATATTTCGCCATGTTTTTCTCTCATGGTCTCCCTAATCTAATGCATTATTCGACTTAAAGTTTAGACATAAAATGAATATAGTTATGATTCACGTAATCGTTTTCTTGTGTACAATATGTTATTCTAACATGTGAAGATTCGGTTTGACACCCATGCATTATTCGACTTAAAGTGAAGTACAAAAAATATATAATCCACTTGATTTTTTTATACAAATTACATATATTTGTACATTAAATCCATTTCGATATTAATTATTCTAACAAAAATATAACAAAAAAATTATGAAATATAAAATTAGCACAATGTCAATATTGATAATAAGTAACTTACAATTGAGACAATTTGTAATATTAATATAGTATATATGCATTTAATTTTGGGCTAATACCACTGTAACACCCGAACTATCGCGAAAATGCCACTTGTGTCCTATTGTTTACAATATTCCATCTGTGTCCTGAACTATGATTTCGTTAGTGTTGGCTTTTGTTGACCGTTAGTTTTTAACAGAAAATCCAGTCAGTGCTGATGTGGCATCTGACGTGGAATTTTTAATATTAATTTTTATTTATTTTTCTATCTAATATTAATAAATAAGAAAAAGAAAATAATTAAAAAATAAAATACAATAAAAATTTAACCCACCCCTCGTTCCACCAACCTCTTCCCCAAGATCCAGATCTACAATTCCTCTTCTCCTTCTCCATCTACAATTCCCCAAAGTCGAAACCATCAAACAAAGGCTTCTAAAGAAAGGCTTGGAACCAACGCCTAAAATCGTTCACACCCTCCGTAAGAAAGAAATTCAAAAACACAACCGCAAGCTGAACAAAATTCGCCGCACCCAGCAATCACCGCCGCTCACTGAATCCGAAAAACAAGCCCTCGCCGAGGAATCCCACTTTCTGAAGTTGCTGAAGCATCCTGTCCATATCCCCATCCTCCTCCCCAATTTCATCCCATATTACCTTCAAGACAACACATTTAATCGGAGTCAGACCAAAAGAGAACTGAGAATCAAGCTCAAATCTGAAATCCCCGACTCAAGATCTATCGAATTGACCCCCCAAAAAAAGGCCTAAACTATGAACGAAATCAGAGAGACGGCAAAATAACTGACTTCGGCGATAATTAGAGTGCTAAAACAGACTGTAATCCATCTTTCCGAAGAAGAACGGTAAGCGCTCCCCAGACAGCATAACTTCAGCAGCGAAATCAGAAGGGAGAGAGAGAGACATTATAAGACGAAGGAACCAAGCAAGGCAAGCACAAACGGAAACGCTTGTATTTGACTAGGATAACCGCCATACACAGAGAGAGAGTGAGAGAGAGAACCTGCAATTGGCGGAGGAGAGAGGCGCAAGTGGTCCGGGAGGGAGAGACGAGAGTGGGCGACGTCGCCATTGTCGGAAGGAGAGTTGGAAGTGAGAAAAATTGGGAGTGACAGAAAGGAAGCGGGGTGCGACTGCCGCCGAACGTGAGAAAAATTGGGAGTGACAGAAAGTGAGAAAAATTATGTCGATGGCGGGGTGCGACTGCCGCCGAACGCGTTCTTGACGAAGCAGATGACGAGGCAGAAGAGGAAATTTTTTAGAGCGAGAGAGGCAAATCGATAGAGAATAGTTTTTTTTTAATTTGAGGTTATAGAATATTATTTACTAATATTCTTGAATTTAAAGTTTTTTCAATTTTTTATTTTCAAAGTTTTATTTAATTTAAATTAAAAATGTGAGGTGTCAATGAGTTGGCATTGCCACGTAAGCAAAAGTCAATGTTAAGTTGACCGCCGTTTGGTCAACTGTTATCTTTAACGGTCAACAAAATTGACAGGATACAAATGACACAAAATATAATAGTTCATGACATGAATGGAATATTGGAAACAATACGACACAAGTGGCATTTTCACGATAGTTCGGGTGTTGTAGTGGTATTAGCCCTTTAATTTTTGATTAATTAAAATTTCCATCGAGTTATTGATTAAACATAAATAGAGTAAAATAATATATTTGATAATTTAATTATATTTTTGTAAAAAAAATAATTTAATTATCTTAAAAGCATGATATTTTATATATATTATAGCTCATACACTTGATTATTTCCTAATTTGATTATCTCAATGATAATAATAACTAGCTACTTAATACTTAATACATCTCATGAACTAATTTGTCATATGAATTAGTTTGCTAAATGAACTATTTCACAAACAATGATATATGATTAATTTTCATTTTGGATTCAGTTGAAATTTGAGAAATGGTCATCAGTCATTTTATATAAATAATGTCACTCAAACTTTGAACTTAGTAATACAAAGAAAATTGAACTAATTGATTTGCTTTTTTTTTAGCTTGAATGACAAATAAGAAAATTTTGGAACTTTCAACTTATGAGAACTAAGAAGTGAAAGAAGGGAAATCTTTTTATGCACTCTGAGAAGAGAAAGAATGAGAAAATTTTGGTACTTTTAAATTTTTGAGAAAAGAAGAAGAAGGTGATAAATTCAGGTGATTTCAATTTTTGGACGAGCAAAAAGGGAGGACTTTTACTGAAATTTTAATGCTTTGAATTTACTGAAGAAAAATAATGAGAAATTTAGATATTTATAATATTTTGGTAATAGAATTAGAAAGAAGGGAAATTTGTGGTGTTTTCAGTTACTTGTGCTTTCAAATATATATCTTGAATTTATTATGTGAAATAAATCTTGAATTTATTTTATAATGGTGATTGTATTAATAAAAAGAAGAGAAGAATGTACATGAGGCATATGTTCAACAATCTGAACCTGCAAAAAGATGAAGAAAAATGAAAGTAAAAAAAAAAAAAAAACAACTGCCAAGAACAAAAATCAACAAAGAGCTGGGAAGAACAAAAAGAGAGCAAGGTGGACTAGACCACCCCGCTCCAAGAAGTAACATGAAAAATAAACTGTTATACACCGATCCACGCATGGAGGCAAAGAATCAATCACAGACCATTCAAGAGTCAATTTTGAATTTTTATGTGATAAATTTTTATTTCAAAGTCAATCATTCTCATTTAAACATTATTTTTTATTGGGTAATATCTATTTTTATCCAAATCTTTTTTGGATTCTTTTGTATTAGCTAAACCTATCGAAATACTAAGAATTAACCAAATGTTGACTTTCAGTTAGCAATTTTGTTAGTAATTTTAACTTGGCAACAAGATACTGACTTGGAAGAGACACATAAAGGCCAACATTCAAAAAATTTAGAATTGTAACTTAGAAAAGAGTTACAAAATTATTAACGATAACGAAAAAATGACTAATATTTTGATGCATTAAAAAGATTTGGCTAATTAATATCATTTTAATAGGTTCGGATAATAAAAAAGAATATAAAAAAGGTTTGGATAAAAAATATACATTACCTTTTTTATTTATTTGTTTACACATAAGCGAGCTTTTTTATTTATCAATACAATCGCAAACCAACTACAACTTCCCATCAAGACTGCATCATATCTAACATCAGCTACTCTTTACAACCAAACGTGTCAAAATAGAATCAGATTCGAGTAACTAGTTCAGTCAACTTGATTTGCAATCCGTTCACAATTTGGGTTTGAAGTCATTGGACTATAACCTGCTGCTAGATTCAAAGACTGATTGTTTGCAACTCCATTGACATTTAGCTCGATTAGCCCATTACCAATTTATCCAACACGAACTCAACTGATTGCCATGAATAATTATTGTACCATAATATATATTATGGAGACGACTGGTATGCTCCAGATGATCTGTCCCGTTAGATTTAAATGGATTAGCTCCGGCCAATTTCAACGGTCAACTCTTCTTTTCTTTTAAATTGAACTTTGGGTTTGGGATTAGAAAACCGGGGCATGGGGTTTATCCATTTGAGGTTAGGGTTTAGTATCATACCCCAAACCGTCATTTTAAACATGCGATTTATGTCAAAATGATGTCAAACATCACTTATGATGTGATGAACAATAACGCACATGAATTTGCACAAAAAACCATTAAAGATTTACTTTAATGTGAAGGATTAGAGTTTAGAGATTTAGGATTAGGGTTAGGGTTTATAATTTGGGGTTTACGGATCGAACTCAAAATTGGAGGTCTAGGGCTTAAGGTTATCCACTAATTAGTTGTTATCATATGTTATATCATCATATTACACTAATTCTACATCTTAAAATTCAAAATTCAACACCTTAAGACTAGTTTTTGAGTTGGGTGCATTGAACGCACTCATTTTTGTGAGTGCACCGAAGTAGTCACCATATATATATATATATATGGTGCCTTCTACGGTACCTCGTGTGAAATCTGGGGTACCGCATACCTTGAGTATGAAAACACTATCCATACCTCGAATTAGCAGGATTTTTGGGCACGATACTATACCCTAACCCTTAATGAGTGAACCCTAGGTCCTAATTATCTAAATCATAAACTATAAACCCTAAAATGGTGCATGATTTTTTTGCCTATATTTAGACGAATCATAACCGTCGATTATTGTTTCTAATTAAATTGATCTTGGGGTATAAGATTTAAAGAATTAAGACTTAGATTTTGATCTTTAAGGGTTGGAGTATAGTATCATGTCCGAAAGATCAGTCAATTCAAGTTTTGAATAGCATTTTCTTACTCAAGGTATGCGGTACCCCGAATTTCACCGTGTACCGTAGAACTCCCCATATATATATGATTATGGTGGCGTATTCGGTGCACCCACTTTTTTTGTTGCATTCAATGCACCCGCCTCATAATCGTCATTCCGAGTAGGCGATTCATGTGAAAAGAATGTAAATCATCACTTGTGGTATGATGAACAAAAACCACATGAATTTGTTCATCAATGCCAAGTGCGCCTAAACAACTAGAGATAGCCCAACCACCAACTATAATTAAACTCAATATATAGACAAATAAGGCTTCATTGACGGAAATAGATGGAAAACAAACCCAAACACACAAAACTTGGAGAATGATGGTTAAGAATGAAATTTCAGCAGGCATTCGACTATGAAATCCGATGCATGGAATCTGCAATACCAAACGCATAGGATGCATTTCCTACTGGAAACAAACTCCCCTAAGCAAGAGAGCACAAACTGAAAATATCAAATGAATACGATCACTTACCTTCCGGTTTCAACCTGAATGAATTGTAGATCCCATATGCTACAACAAGGCTCGCCTCCACCGTTACCCTGGCCAAAAGAGACCATCCGTCGTTCCACTGACAAACTCCCTTGAACCATTCCCCTACCCAAAAATGAAGCCAGAATCTTCTCGTCGGCCTTACTTTTGTCCCATCTGTCATTCCCCTGGCAAAGTCCCATGCACCATTCCCCGGCCAGGAAAAACCCATAATTTGCTTGTCGAACTTCCTCAATCGTTCCCTGCACAGTCATTCCACTTCCTAGAAACTAATCATGGACCCGTTGAACCTCTTGTCGTTCCTCTATCTCGAATGCTCCTATCTCTGTTGGAGAAAAAGGCGTGGGGCCGACCTTGTTCCTCTCCGTCGGTCCGGAGAAGAAAAGAAACTCGAACTTCCTTTCCCGCTCTTCGGTTGGCTAGATAAGTAGGTTAGACGATGAATGAATTGTAAAAAATAACAAACAACAAAACAATAGCATAAGGTGAATGGAGGTAAACTCCTGCAACTGTAAACTTTAAAAAGCACAACAAAGAAGTAGAGTGAGAGAGGTGAGCAAGAGAGTATGCAGAGAGAAAGAGAGGAATTACCAAGAATAATGCGGCGTTGCCGCCTGAATCGCGTCTGTTAGATCTGACGTACCTCCCTCTGCCTCTATCGCTACGCAAGACCTCATCGGTTGAACCCCAACTCTCGATCCCTTATTGGGAACTTCGTCGTGGCAGTGTTCCCCATCTCCCCGCCTAAATCTCGTCGGATGGAAGAATCTGATGGGAGCTGAGTTGCTGTTGGAGCTTGGATTCTCCTCTCTTCTGGTCTTCCTTTTTCTTCTTCAGATTGTTGCAAAGAGAAAGGGAGAGATAGGCATATGGGAGAGAGAGGGATGGCAGAGATGATGAAATTGAGTGGTTGGTAAAATTGGAATAAGAAAATTGAAAATATAAAATTGTTAGTGGTAGAAACCAGTCTCTATAATTGGGCGGGCGTCAGCAGTGGCAAATCTCCAAAAAGGCACCTGAACCCTAGAAAACCAGGTAGAAGTACCCAAATAGGCCACTGTAGAAAAGTCAAGGTTCAAATCGCTTGAGAAAATGTATGCCCGACTCAGTCTCATAAATTAGAAATGCGTGTAAAACTCGCTCTCGAAGCAAAATTCGTCAATAGAGAGTTCAACTAGGTCAAAAAAATCAACACCCGGCTCTATCCTGTAAATTAGAAGCATGTAAAACTCGTCGTCGACACAAATTTTGTCGACACCGGGTTGAACTCGCTTAACAAAATGAACACCCGAGTCAATCCCATCAATTAGAAAGGCATGTAAACCCCACTCCCAAAGCAAAACTCGTTAACACCGGGTTCAACTTGATAAACAATATCCACACCCGACTCAATCTCATAACTTAGAAAAGCGTATAAACCTCTTTGTCGATGTGTCAACAAAGCAGTTTGACAACATTTGGGCAAGTAAAATACCGACCCAAAATTAATCAACGCCACCTCAATATAATATAGCAGTGCGATCTTTAACAAAACCCGCACCCGACCCAACCTGCCAATTAAAAAAGTGGGTAAAACTCGTCTTGGACCCAAATTTCATCTACCCAACCCGTCAATACTGGATTCAACACGCTTTGACTGATTTGATACCAACCCGTCAATTACAAAAGCGGGTAAAGCACGTCATGGATCCAAATTTCATCAACCATTCAACCCGACCCAACCTGTCAATTACAAAAGTGGGTAAAACTCGTCCTCGACCCAAAATTCGTCAATACTGCATTCAACTCTCTTTGAACGGTTTGATAAATCGGAGCGAGTTGTAACAAAATCCAAACCCGACCCAACTCGTCAATTACAAAAGCGCGTAAAATTCATTCCCAAACCCAAAATTTGTCAACATTAGGTTCAACTCGCTTTGATATGGTTTTACACGCTTAAACCATTGTCACTAAAGTATCCAAATCCCCACCCGACCCAACCCGTCAATTACAAAAGTGAGTAAAGATAATTACGTAACGACCTAACCAAAAAAAATCATTAACACGGAGTTCAACTCGGTCCAACCGGGTCGAATCAATTTGAATACCTATTTAAGAGTGTAAAACTCGTTGTCGACCCAAAATTTTTCAAAATCGGGTTCAACTCGCTTTAATTTAGTCAAATTAGGTCGAATACCCATTGGTTTGGATCAAATTGTCTTGAATTGTCATAAGTTAATTAATTGGAGTCAATTTTCATAAGCTAATTGGTTAGAATCTTAGTAGCATATAAACTCCTCCAACTTTGGTTGATTATAAAAGGGTCACTCCTTGGATGTGATTCTATGAAATAGTAACTTTTGTACTTGTTCTTTTAAGAGTTAATTAATTAATAATTTGGGTCAAATTTGCCCTCAATCGTCATAAGTTAATTAAGTTGGAGTCAATTGTCATAAGCTAATTAGTTAGAACCTTAATGGCATGAAAACTCCTCCAAACTTTGGTTAATTATAAAAGGATCACTCCTTAGATGTGACTCTATGAAATATTAAACACAATTGAGTTAGAAGTTGGAGTCAATTGTTATAAGCTAATTGGTTAGAAGCTTAATGGAATAAAAACTCCTGCAAACTTTAGTTTATTAGAAAAGGGTCACTCATTAGATGTGACTCTATGAAATAGGCTAAATTACACGTTTGGTCACTCAAATTTACTAATCTTTCACGTTTGCCACCCGAATCACTTTTCTTTCTTATTCGCCACTAACTTTACGAATCATTTCACCGTTAGTCACCGACCGTCAATCTCCGTTAGATTCCGTTAACTCCGTCAAATTTTTGATGACGTGGCAAACAGAATTATTGACTTGACTAACAAATTGATGAGTCATGCATTTTTTGACAATCTAGTTAGCACAGTAAATAATAATAAAAATAATGAAACCCAACCTAGCAATAATCCTTTCTCTCTATTTTTTCCTTCGATCTTCTACCTTCTGCAGGCAAATGAAACCAGGGAGACAAAAGGCCTCGACACCAGCGCCTTGCTCTTCCCTCCCGTCCCCGACGAGTTGAACAGCGCCGCCGTGCTGCTCTGCTTCACCTCTGCCTCCAGCAACTCTGTTTCCACTTCTCCCTCACCGGCAGATCAGTTTCGAGTACCGCCAAACTGTCCCCGTCGAGTCGAATTCGACAAGATTAGAGGAATCATTCGGCAGAATCAAAGGCATATCGAAACCAAAGATCTTGTCAACGAGTTCAGGGACTATGATGATTAGCTTCAGATCGGAATCGCTGATTTCTGGAGAATCCTATTTGGCAGCCACCAGCCAGAGTCGTCAGCCTACCTTTCTTTCTTCCTCATTCAAAACAATCCGATTATCTCCAACCAAAGCAGATCCCGCGGATGGAGAAGTCTAGGATGTCGACAAGGAAGACAAGGGTGAGGATTTCAATTTCTCCACAACATTCGGTGGCGATTCCATTGATTCCGTCGAGGAAGCGTTCATCGACGACCAGATCTGCCCGTTTTCCCCCCTATTCAACTGGGATCTCCTCCTCCTTGATGCTCTCGCCATCGACCAGCCGTAGGGCCCCTCCTGCGAGCGGAGGGGGAAAGCTGCGGGCGTGGTGGATGCGTCGCCGAAGCCCAATTTCTAAGTTTGCCAAGCGAAATCCCTAATTACAAGGACATCAACAAGGCAGAAAGAGCGGCTGGCTCTAGTTGGTCTCGATCTCCAGATTTTCATGGATTCCGTCAAGGACCAAGGGACACGAAGGAGGAAGAAGAAGAGGATGGTGTACGCGGATGAAGGGCTGGTACGGCTGCAACCTGGACGGAGGAGGGCGGCAGCGTCGTTGTTGTTGGGAGCTGGTAGTGCAAAGAGGAAGGAGAAGAGAAAGTGTGCGGCGATATTTTTTTATTTCTTATTTTTTAAAATTGGCATGTCATTAGTTAACGGTCCAGTCAGCATTTTTGTTTGCCATGTCATTAAAAATCTGACGGAGTTAACAGATTCTGACGGAGACTGACGGTCAGTGACTAACGTTGAAACGATTTGTAAAATTAGTGGCGAATAAGAAAGAAAAGTAATTCGGGTGGCAAACGTGAAAGAATTATGTAATTTGAGTGACCAAACATGTAATTTAGCCCTATGAAATAGTAACTTTTGTGATTTTTCTTGTAAAGAGTTAATTAATTACATAGGACCAGCTGAAGAAAAGATTCTACCTAACGGTCACAGCGGCAAGGCCCCATCAACTCAGGAATGGAGAGTTGTTGGACCCAAGGAGTCCAAACAAGCTAATGAGCAGCGAGAAACAGGGCCTAGTACTTCTGGCCAACCAGTTTCAATGGTTTTGACCGATCAAGCCCAACCTTTGCAGGTAGTTAAAGGCCCAAATAACACTAACATTCAGATTGTTTCAGTCCCGGCACTAGAACTCCCGGGCAAAGAAAATGTGAACCCAAGGCAGAACAACTCCTCAAAACGGAAACAACGAAACAGAAAGACTGAGGATAAGGTTTTGGCGGTGAAGGGGGTTTCACTGAAAGCGACAAAGAAACCACTTCAAATACAACATTCAGCGAGGAAAGATTCCGGGCAGAATGCTAAGAACCAGGACATCTGCGTGCACAAGCCAAGAAAGTCAGATGAGCTACGACCAGCAGAAATGGAGGCGACGGTGGATTCGACGATGGAGGAATCGCCAACTTTGATGGAAAAAGCTAGAGAGAAAACGGGAGGAAATCAGGGGCCTTCTAATCCCTCTTCTCTTTGATTCTTTTGAACTCTTGGTCCTATAAATTCTCCTTCCATTTACTATGATTTATCAATCTAATGTTAAAATTCTTATCTGGAATGTTTGTGGAGCAGGAAGTAAGCAATTCCTGCAGGCTATTCGTCTTCTGATTTAGTCTCAGAGACCGGACTTCTTGATCATCTTAGAGCCTCAAATCAGTGGAGAACGAGCAAACACTGTATGCGTCAATTTGGGACGATGAAGTGATTCGAGTGGATGCAGAGGGTCGTTCAGGGGGATTTGGATTGCTTGGAAATTGGGGGATTTTAAGGCAGAATTGATAAATGCTAGCAGACAACATGTAACAATCAAAGTCACTAAACCGATGCATCGGGATTGGTTGTTAACTAGCGTCTACGGCAGCCCCAAATATAAATTCCACTCGCTTCTATGGGAGCATCTTATTCACACTAGCAAAGCCAATAATCTTCCTTGGTTGGTTACTGGGGACTTCAACTCTTTCTGTCTACCGGATGAAAAGTCCGGTAGCATTTCTTCAAGAGATCTTCGTAGATGTCAAAAATTCGTGGATTGGATGAATGAGGCGGAACTTACGGATCTGGGTTTCTCTGGACCCCGTTTCACTTTGATAAGAGTTGATTCCAATGGGACTCATAAGGCGAGCCGGATAGACAGATCTATATGTAATGTAGGGTGGAACAATGCGTTTCCAAACACGGCTGTGCAACATCTTGCCAAATTCCACCACCTACCTATCCTCACTACCAGCATGGCTACACCCGGTCCGGTTAATACAGGGAGGTCATTCAAGTTTGAGGCAGCATGGGCAATGCACCCACAGTTTGATAAATTCCTCAAAGATAATTGGAAGGGAGAGGATATGATACACGCAATTTTCAAAGATATCACACCGAAAATGCAGACTTGGGGCAGTGAGGTGTTTGGGTCTACTACCAAAAGAAAGAGAAGGATAATGACTAGGCTTCAGGGTGTTACAGAGAGGCTAGCTAATAACTTCTCACCGGGTTTGGTGAAATTGCAAATTAAACTGGAAAGGGAATTAGACATGATTCTACAACAAGAGGAGGTCATTTGGTTCCAACGATCTAGGGAGAAGTGAGTGAATTTTGGTGAACAAAATACAGGCTACTTTCATCAGCAGGCCACACGAAGAAGAAGATGAAGAAGAAATAAAATTCTCGCACTTCGAGACAGCAATGGAGAGTGGATCGAAGATCAAGAGCAGCTGGGTGATATGGTAGTCGGTTACTATCAACAGCTCTACACGCAGGATTCACTTGATTACGAGGATCGGATGCCGAGAGGTTGTTTCCCGAGACTTCAACAAGAGGAGTTGTTGCAGCTTCTTCGACCTTTTAATATATCAGACTACCACAAAGCCGTCTTTGAAATGAAACCATTTTCAGCATCGGGTCCTGACGGTTTCCAGGCCTTCTTCTTCCATAAATACCGGCCACTAATAGGGAAGAATCTAGCGCTCATGGCGACTAAATTCTTTGAGACGAGAGAGATTCTTGAAGAAGTTATGGAATTAACTGTAATTCTCATCCCTAAGGTGGATCATCGGGAGAATCCAACGCAGTTTCGTCCAATTAGCCTCAATAATGTGGCGCTCAAGGCCATTACCAAGGCCATAGCCAACAGATTGAAGCCTTTGATGCCCAAACCGATCTCTCCGATGCAAAGTGGCTTTGTTAGGGGGAGGCAAACAAACGACAACATACTTCTTCTTCAGGAAGCGTTACACTCGTTTCGCGATCGAAAAGGAAAAAGAGGAGGGTTGATTATCAAAATTGACTTGGAGAAAGCATATGATAGGCTTCACTGGAGTTTTCTACGAGACACACTCAAAGAGATACAACTGCCGAGCTCGTGGATTGACAGGATCATGAGTTGTGTTGAGAGGAACAATATGAAAATCAACTGGAACGGGAGGCTTACTTCAGCAATCAAGCCAACCAGAGGAGTGCGACAGGGAGATCCTCTATCTTCCTTCCTATTTGTTTTATGTATGTAAAGATTGGCTCATCGTATTGAACAGGTAGTGGATGAGAGGCTTTGGAAACCAGTCTCTCTAACCAAAGAAGGGTCAAAGCTCTCTCATCTATTTTTCGCTGACGACTTGATACTTTTTGCAGAGGCGGAAGGAAATCAAATTGATGTTATACGTAGTTGCCTGGAGGACTTCTGTGCAAGCTCGGGGCAGAGGGTCAACTTCAGCAAATCGGCCATGTTTGTATCACCCAACATTCATCGCGACAAGGCAGAAAGACTCAGCCTCTGAGCGGGCATTCGACTCACATCGGATCTTGGCAAATACTTTGGACTTAAACGTGATCAATGGGAGGATCAGCAAAAAACAGATACAAGGAGCTGCTGCTGAGGGTTCAGTAAAGGCTTGCTAACTGGAAAATAGGATATCTATCGATGGCGGCTAGGGTCACTTTGGTTAAATCAATCTCTTCATCTATGTCTATTTATCATATGTTTACGGAGCTGCTACCTTCTTCTGTTTGTGATGCTTTGGACAGGTGCAATAGACAATTTGTATGGGGAGACAAAGATGGTAAAGCTAAATTTCACTCGATTGCGTGGGAGCAACTCACTTTGCCACGCAATCAGGGGGGGCTTGGCATCCGTTCCACAATGCTCACAAACCAAGCAATGTGGGAGAAAGGGGCTTGGAAGTTAACCACTGGAGACGACGCCATATGGGCTAGGTTCATGAGAGGAAAATATGGGAGAAATAGGAAGGGTATCGACATCCTCTCTAAAGCAAAGGGAAGTTCCCTTGTCTGGCGCAGCTATGCTCAAACTGCTAAAACCCTGCGCAAAGGTGCAGCTATTAATGTAAAGAATGGCAAAGCAACTAAATTCTGGCTCAATACATGGCTTTTGCAGGATTCTTTGTTGGATTGTGCGACCACGGAAGTCCCCGAGGATCTAAGAGGGAGGCTCGTGGCTGACTACTGGGACCCTGGCAATGGATGGAAGATTCAAGAAGTTGAGCAATACCTACCACCAGGAGTCATCGACAAGCTCAGGTCGATTTTGATAGACCCCTTATCAACAGCAGAAGACAATCTATTCTAGAAGCTTTCAGCAGATGGAAAATTAAGCACAAAGACAGCCTTTCAAGCTATCTCTCCAAGGGAGGAAGGGCAAGACCTCTTGATAGGTCAAAAGCGTATAGCTTCAATTCCTATCTTGTAGTAAAACCGGAAAGTCCGGGTATCGTCTCTCAGGGACTGGTACAACCTTAAGATTTACCGATTTAATAGAGCAAACTATAGGTGAAAATGGTTTAATGAGATTATTAACTACTAGCAAAATAAAATAAACAAATTAACTAAATGAAAACTGTCGGGAGAAAATCAATGGGAGAAAGCTCTGGGAGAAACACCGGGATTCACTACCTATCCTATCCAGATTAATTCACATACTCCAATCAATTTAATCCAACTCTCTACAGCCAGGATATCACGAATGTGCTAGCTATCCCTGTCGGGAATTACTACGTACTAAACAATTAAATCAAATCCTACTGTCGTAGCTCAATGACCTAATTATTTAGCCTGAAGATCGATATCCTATTTAAGACCGCATAGCACCTTATTTAATCCACTGTCGCTTCGATAAGTTACTATGTCACATGAAATAGGTTCAGTTATTAGGGTTTCACTGTCGCTAATAACCTAATTAACTACAAATCGATGTATTGGTGGCCAGTCAACACAAAGCATTAAGCAATTTCATGCAATAGAGATTGGAAGAAAAGAATCATAAATCAATCCATCAAATCAAGAAATAGCTACATCCTATGGTGTTTCCCCCAGAAATTGGGGTTTAGTTCATGACGAAATTAAGATAAATCGATAGGGTTTTGTTCATCGTGTTACGAAGCAAAGCAAAAGAAAAACAAATACTGAAATTTTCTTCCCTGCTCTGCACTCGATCGCCCGCGCAAGCTGCTTCTCCGCTGCGCCTGCTCCCTGTCCTTTTTTTTCCCAAGAGAATCCGTCCGCTACTAATTCCCCCCTCTTTTAATTCCGCCAGCTTCCCTTTTATTTAATTCCAAAAACAAGCTTCCGTGTCCCTCCCCAAAGAGAATCTCCAGCCGCCTCTTTTTCTTTTAATTCCTTTCTTCCGCCCAGCAATTGAATTTCGTGGCCCGTAGCCTTTCGTGGCCCATGTCATTAATCCCCATCCAGCTGGGCTTTAAGTCCAGCTTTCGAGAATTGTTTTGCCGGTGCAACTTCTTTTTCGTGTTTTCTTCACCTGTAATACATCAAACTCATGGCACTAGGCAGTAATGGTTTTTCAACCATTCTCGGGTTAGCGAGCCCTAAAATAGCACCAATTGGCTAAAACATACCACGGATAATCACATAAAGTCCAAGAATCCAATATGTTAAAGCCGAATATCACAACCCCACACTCAATTGTTGCTTGTCCCTAAGCAACGACTCAAAAGACACAAACACATAACCATCCAAAACAATGACACATTACAGACTCAACAATCAAACACTCAAACAAAACAAAATTTTCCTTGTACTCTTGTTGTAATCAGTAGTTTCTTTCTCAACGGATAAGTTGTGCTCTAATGGTCATACCTTTCACCCCACACTCAAGCTCTTTGCAACCATTACCATTGACTGACTCAAATCCACCAAAAACTCAAATAGCAGCACTCAATTTCGATCGTCGGTAGTGGGTGATTAACAACTTATGGTGCAGCAATTATTAGGAGAATCTAACCACATCAGTGAGGTGCATATCTCGTGAGGACAATCTGGCTTACTCACACCAATCATAAGCAATTAATTAAGCATGAGTCTCAAAAACTAACGGGGGAAGCCTTTCGCAAACATGATTTTAACTTTAAGCACATCACTACCTTTTATGACAAGGAGAGGCTTTCTCTCTTTCTGCTTTTGCTTGCCGAGAAGTCGTATTTAGTACAAGTGGGATTTGTTTCTTACTACCGGTGACCGAGCAAGAGCAATTTCTGCTTCTTAGCACTCGCATAAGAGCTTCTTTTAACTCCTTATCCTCGGTCCGTGTGGAGGGTCATTGCATCCTCTAATGGCACTTCACTCAACTGGGGATCGTACTTGATAAGCAACATCGTACGGTCGCGAACCGATTCTCAATTGAATCTTTCCTCATCCCCATGTGCAATGAGTGATTGCCTCACACGATTTTGGCATTTTTACCCACACTTTAATTGTTATGGCAACTTTCTTATATTTTACTTGTCAGGTAGTGTTTTCTTTTATGAAGATACAGTTCACCCCATCATAAAACAATCAAAACAGAGAAACTCGTTGCCAAATCAAAAGCTCACAATTGATGCAAGTAAGCACGGTATCCAAACATATCGAATGGTCAATGTTCTCCACCTAACTACTTCACCAAAAGTCGTTACACTATCCTCACAAAAGAGAATGTTGCTAAAAGAGTTGCTCATTCAAAGCATATCAAGTCAGTCAAAATATCAAGCTCATTGTGAAGAACTATGCAATTCAACACTAGTGGGGTGATTTCGATGATTTCATTCAAGCGCAAACTCATTTTCAAGGCATCACGGTCATTTACATCATGTTACCACAAGAGTACAAGGTTTTGTTTTTGATTTTTCTGATTTTTAGGTGTTTTTTAGCCATTAGATTAACACAGGCAGACTGCTTTTTACACAGGCAGACTGCTTTTTACACAGGCAAACTGCATGCAGTTTGGCTGTGCTCAACCTAATGGCAATTTTTTTGTTTTTTTTTTGTTTTTTGGATTTTTTTGTTTTTTTTTTTACCGACCACATGACAAAAGGAACAAACAAACACTAAGACTCGCCACCCCACACTCAGGATGGAACATTGTCCCTAATGTTCAACTCCTAATCTAAACATGCACGGGTTTGACACAACTAAAAATAAAAATAAAGAAAAGAAAACTTACCTTGGGTTGCCTCCCAAGAAGCGCTTGTTTAACGTCCTCAGCCTGACGTTTATGGAGCTTTCAACCAATGGGTATGGAAAGGTATCCAGCATACCCTCCCGAGCAATGATAGAACGCATAGCCTCCATCTAACATATGAGTCACCTCTGCAGGGCCAGGTGTGCGAAAATTGGGTATGACCTTCTTAGCTGGCATGTTAGACCCTTTAGTGAGGCGTAGGTGGTACTGCAGCGCCTCAAGCAGGTACTCTTCCTGTTTCAATGTCAGTGAAGAAGGAATAATAACAGGAAGATTGAAATCCTTACCCAAATATCTATACTTGAGGTGACCTGGCAAGGATTTCTGCCCTTGCTTTGATTTCAGAATCTGAGCAGATAGGATAGGTGATAGTTCTTCGGATGGTCCACTATCACAGGAAGAGGGATTTTTCCTTTCTCGAGCTTCACTTTCAAATTCATCATGATTATGGTCAACTTGAAAGACATTAAAAATTTCCTCCTCCTTACCTACTCGGAATGTCAACTTGCCTCTCCCAACATCGATGAGTGCATCACCGGTTGCTAGAAAAGGTCTGCCGAGGATTAGAGGCACTCCCCGATCATCTTCCATCTCCAGGATTACAAAATCTGTTGGGAGAATAAACTTTCCCACCTTCACCAATACATTCTCCACCACTCCTTTTGGAATTTTCACTGATCGATCAGCCAATTGGAGTGTGATCCGAGTAGGCTTAAGAACATCACCCAATCCCAATTTCTTGTAGACTGAGTATGGCATCAAATTAATTCCTGCTCCAAGATCACAAAGTGATTTATTGAATTCTGTACCTCCAATGACACATGGAATGGTGAAGCTGCCCGGATCATCCCTCTTTTCTGGTAATTTATTCTGAATCACAGCACTACATTCAGAAGTAAGGGTTACCTTCTCCAGATCAGCCCATTTGCGCTTCTTTGTCAGCAACTCCCTTAAGAATTTAGCATATGTAGGCATCTGTTCAAGTGCCTCCGCCAACGGTATGTTGATATGAAGTTGCTTGAAGATATTCACAAATTTCTTGAATTTTGGGTCTTCCATGGGCTTCATTAACCTTTGAGGGAATGGTGCGGGAGGTTCATAAGGCTTTACCTCTTCATTCTTCAATTTTTCCACTTTTTGAGGTACACGGGCAGCATGCTTTTGCACAGGCAAACCGCTTTCATTTTGCCTGTGCAAGGCTGATTCTTCATTTTCTGCACAAGATCTTTCTCCCGATGCTTCCTCTTCTGCCTCTGGTGCCTTTTTCGAGCTGCTAGGGTCTTCCAAGGCCTTTCCACTCCTCAATGTCACTGCTACAACCATGGCATCCTTCGGATTCCTCTCAGTATTTGCTGGTAATGTCCCAGGAATCCTGCCTTGCATATCTGCCAAAGTTTGAGCCATCTGTCCCATCTGCCTCTCCATAGCTAGCATAGACGATTGTAAGTTATTGTTGATGGCTAGCTGTTGAGTGACAAATTGATCCAGGCCCTTGAAATTATTGTCTGTTTTCTGCATATGAGCCAAAATCAACTCCTCCAGCTGGGGCTTCTTCTCTGGTTGAGGCTGCTGCTGTTGAAAACCAGGAGGTGGGATGTTTCGAACACCAGTTGGATTATTGTTTGACCATGACATATTGGGGTGATGTCTCCATTGAGGGTTATATGTATTTGAATACATACCACCCTGACCTTGACTTCGCGGATTATTGATATACTGAATATCTTCCAACTGAGCAGCTCCCAGCGGACACATATCCCTATGATGAGGACCCTCGCAAAGTTCACATGAAGCAACCTCCTCTTGTCTACCCAAAGCAATCTTGGCCAGCCTTCGTTCGAGTGCATCGAACTTGGAATCCAGCTTAGCATCAATCTTTGCTTCTAAACTTGCAACTCTGTCTATCTCATGCAAGCCTCCTCTCCTTCGAATACTGGTCTCACTACCCCATTCAGTGGCTTCTGAACAGATCTTCTCTACCAGTTCATATGCTGCTGGAGCCTCCATCCTTGTGAAACCATTTCGAGAAGCATTATTTAGGGCATCCCGAAACTCCCTTCTGATTCCATTGAAGAAAATAATGATCACGTTCCAATCTTCAAGACCATGGCTTGGGCATCTCATCAACAGCCCCTTGTAGCGCTCCCATGCCTCAGTCAGACTCTCATCATCAGCCTGCTTAAAAGTAACAATCTCTTCTTGCCTCTTCATTGCCAAGGCAGGTGGGAAGTATTTATCCAAAAATACCTTCTCAAGCTGACCCCATGTTGTGATGGAACGGGGTGTCAAGTTCTGGAACCAGTGTGATGCATTCCCAAGCAGAGAAAATGAGAACATCCGAAGACGGATGGCATCATCAGACACAGCCGGGCTC